CTGGTAAATTTTGTTTGGTTATTACTATATTGAAATATTGGCTGTATTTTCTGTTTTTAAACTTAGTTTGGGTTTATCCAACTGTTTGCAGATAATGCTGGTGTTATTGTCAACCCCAAGGGTGAAATGAAAGGTAAATCAACCCATTTTCATTCAATTTTGAGTACTATTTTTCAAATGTAGTTTTCTTTTTGCTTATTCCTGTTTTTCTTCGGTTCACTTGATCAAGTACACATGCCTGGTTTATCTAAATTCTGGGGAAGTGAACACGCCTTTGTGATCATTCACTGATGTAGTAAAAAAGAAATTTGTATGCTTTCAAGTTAGAGCCTGAGAAATCTGGATTATCTTTTTTCTAGGAATCTGTTTTGCCATGACTGGAAAGGTCATGTTTTTGTGAGATTGGTTCTATCAATGCCTTTTCCTATTGACTTGCACTTGAGTTGAAGAAAGTGAGATATTGTTACCTTGTTGGATGGATTTGATGAATGAAACTCGTTTTGGGTTCCATTTATTCTATGTTTTTTCAGGATCTGCTATCACTGGACCCATAGGAAAGGAGTGCGCTGACCTGTGGCCTAGAATTGCAAGTGCTGCCAATGCTATTGTATGAAAGATTTTCATGGTTTTGTTTGCAACTGTAGCTTTGATGTTATCTTTCAATTACTTCCCATACATGTTTTGAGAGGTTTTGATCAGACAATGGTACATGTAGTTGACTAAAACTTATTTCTAATTTACTTTTATGGATTGTATTACAATTTACAACAGTTTTTCCTTTGCTCTTTTTAAGCTTGAGTAAAACTAAACAATTTCGGTATGATGATATCGAACATCAGAGAATCCTCGGTAGTTTTTTTTTTTTTGATAAACCAATCTTCATTGTCAGAACAAACCTGACAAGATTGCTGGGATAATGTGTTGGAAAAAAAGAATTTTCTACATAGTATGTCTCAAGAATTATTTACCGGGTTAGGATGAATGATACAGTGCGATGTCTTTGCAATGGGGAAGATGCATGGAGCACTATGCGTCTTCAGTTTGGTCGTCTTTGTGGAAGAGCATGAAAATGCAGAGCAAAGGAAAAATGATTGGCCATGATGAAAAGATGCACTGTGGTCCATGTGTTCTCATAACTTGTTTAAATTTTTAGATTAAACCCTTATGTATTCTCATTTTAACGTGCGTTTTGGTTATGGTGAATTTGTTTAGGACACCATGCTCTTTCGTTACTCTCCTACCTTTCATAGTTTTTCTTAACTCGGCAACCACACCTTTAATACAAGCTAATTAATGTACTTATCATGCCAACAACCGAACTTGCATCAGTTTTAATCACCTCAGCATGACTCTGCTGACCTTGTTCTAATGTTGCCAAATCTACTGAGAAACCTTTTGCTCCAAAAAACTACCCTATTGGATTACATTTCACATGAATAACAATATAATACTAATTTTCGTTTGTTTCGTTATCAATGTAGTTATCAGATGAAACTGGTCTAAAATATTTTCAGGAACTTTGTGAGCCTTTCACGGGATCAAGTGTTAGCTTTTGACACATAAGTCATTGCTTTTCAATTCGGCACTAGAAAAGCAGAATTGTGCAGACAAGGCATTAACTTTTCAATCGCATCTCCCCCACAATCTTTCTTTGTAACATCCCAAACTACGAGTTAATGACTAAATTGTAAATTTTCAGAATTTAGTGATTAAAGTGAAAAAGTTGAATAGTTTAATTACTTATTTAAAAATAATTTCTAAAGGGTTATTGGTAATTATTGAAAGAGTCAAAGGGTAAATAGGTCATTGAACAAGGAAAATAATTAAATAATAATTAGTAGGTATTATAATAACCATGTGGAGCATGTGTTGAGGAGATAAGTTTCCAGACTTATCCTCTCCATCTTCTTCTCTTCTCCAACGTGAGGCATACAAGCAAATGTGAGTTTCTTAATTAGATGATTATTTGTTCAATTAAAGGTTGAGTTTTGATCCTTATATGATAATTAAGCTTAAGGAAAGCTTAAGTTATCTTAAAATCAAAAGATGAAGAAGTTATGAAGGATTAAAGATAAGAAATGGATAAGTGAAATTTTGAATAAGGATATATAAATGAATTTATAAGTTGAATTTGACTTGTCATCGGTGTGAATAAGAAGTTATAAGTGTTAAATTAAAGTTTGGATTACATGGAAAAGTTAGTAAGATTCTTGGTTTTAAGAAATAGGATGAGATATGAGAGATAATAAGATGTTGAGATGATAGAAGTTAATTAAAATGGTTGTAGATGAGTTTAGTGGTATGAAAAGAATTTTATACGAGGAAATTTAGTAAAGAGTTGATGAATTTTCGGGTGAAAAAGTCTGTTCTATGCAGGGTGCAGCGGCACACTATGAGTGGATACCGATGCACTAAGACAAATTTTGAAGGTGCATCGATACATTAAGGAGTGCATCAATGCATGGGAATTTCGAAAGTTATTTTGGGTACCGATGTACCCATAGTGCATCGATACACCCTTAAAAGAAAAATGAATTTTTGATTCATTAAACTAGCTTAAGTTACTAACATCAAATTATAAGGTTTATGCTTCTGATAGTAGTCTCAGAAATTATGTTAATGTAGATATTGAGCCTAAACAAGACCAAAGGTTTTTGCGTTGCATAAATATGTAGATAGATTTAATAAGTGAAGTTTTAGTGTAGGTAACTTTGCATATAATCTCAGCATAGAATGACACTGCAACTGACCTGAAAAAGTAGAAGAAAAATGTCATGTTATTCCCAATTTCAACTTCACTGAACTATGGGGCCAAATTTGAAGTCCTGTGGATGTTTTAGTATCAAGAGGGTATCATCTAACAGCCTAACAAAATGCATTTCTGATTCGTCAGCACTGACAGCTAGACTAGTATTATTATTGAAGTGAAACGGGGAAGCGGTAGAGAAGATAGGCATGGGAAGAAAACATATGGAAACAAGGGTAAATTGATATTTTATCGTTAAATTATTTTAGATTTATAAAAAGACCTATAATTAGTAATTTATCTAAAATTCAAGGGTTAAAATAAAAGTTAAACATTTTTACTAACATGTCATGTTATCAAACTCACGGCAAATAACATCTTAGTGATCAAATCTTAATAAAATAATAACGTAAATAACCAAAACTTATGTTTTTTGAATCCAGTGACCATAAGTTTATAAAACTCAAATGAAAGTGATCAAATTTGTAGTTTACCCTAATTTATAATATATTTAATAGTAATAAATGACTTTATAAGTACTCAAACATGAAATAACTGAATAATATGAAAATATAATATATATATATATAAACAAATATTATAATTGATTAATAAATGAATATGTTTTATTTATATTTTAAATCACATTTAATGCAAAAATTAAAATAAAAGTGGACTTAATATGTTATAATTGAAATATATCATTTTACATATTTTAAATTAATAAATTGTATTCATTATTATAATTTTATTGAACTTAAATGTACCATGTCTTATATTTTAAAACATTATAACGCCAATCAGGTTTTAATCTTATTTAACAACTTTAAAATAGACTAATTCAATAAAATTAAGTTTCCCTAAAATTTTCTTCAAATATATAATGAATAAATAAGAAAATATACATGTATTTAATTTATTCGGTGCTATTAGAGTGGGATTCACTTTTTAGGAAATATGAGTCGAAGCAATAACAAGAATATTTCTAGTGGAACATCTTTTACAATCCTTAGAGAGATAGTTCACTAATAGACCGAGGGATAAGTAATTCATCTCATTCACATCCAGATCATGAATGTTTGGAATCCATATTATACAAGGAGACAAAATTCTTACTCTAACCAGGATATAAACAAGTCAATGCATAAGTTAAAATGCTTATTACGATAAACCCTTAACTATCATGAAAATTCTAAGTCAACGAAGCTTCGTTATATTTCAATTATAATATATTAAAATCATTTTTATTTTTTCATTAGAATGATTTAAAAAATAAATAAAATATATTGACATATTAATCAGTTATAATATTTGTGTATATATATAATATTAATGTATTATTCAATTATTCCATGTTGGAGTTCTTATTAGGTCATTTTCTTTTTTTATTGTCATTAACTATATATGTTATATCGTGATAGGTTTGTCATTCGAATGGTGCATTCCAATGGCTGGTGCATTTGCTTTCTCTTTCCAGATCTTAGGTTTAAACCCTACCAATAACAGTTATTGATTCAATTTATTTTATATTCATTTAATTGGTGACACGTGGCACCAATTGATTAGATATAAAATTTATTAAATTAAATAAGAATATTAAGAAAAAATTTCAAATACATAGTGACACATGTCACCATCAGATTAAGGATTAAATTTATTTGAATTAATTAAAAATTATGACCAAATTAATAGAATGTGTAAGTAATGAGGCCTAAATGTGTAATTATAAAAATTTTATTAACTGCCTCATCTTCTCGGTTAATATTTAACGACATGTGACTTGATTGACAAGATTTAAATAGTTAGGTGACTTGATTGACAAAATTAAAAAATCATTGGTTAAAGTAAAAGGAGTAAATAGTTAGATGATTAATAATATAATTTACCCTAAAAACTAATATTTTATAAATATTATATTTTAATTTAATTACTTTTGAAATTTTAAACTAATTTATAATTTAACGTTTATCACTTCATAATTTAGTATTCTAAATTAATTTAATAATAATTATAGTTAATAATACTCATACACGCTCGACGAACATTATAAAATTTGTTTTCTTTTAATCATTTATAACATGAATATATTATATACAGACAACTACTTAAATTCATTGCGTTTAAAAAATAACGCTTTCTGAATTATTTAAAAGTTAAAATGACTTTCTTTTTATTTAATTTTCAATTTAAAACAAAAAGAGAGAGGAAGAAATTGTGGAGGGCCCCACATTTCTGTCACTGAGAACGACCACTTCCCTAATCATAAGAACAATATTAATGCCCACGTGCCATCTTTCCACCCCATCCATCACGATCCTCCACGTAGATAGTCATGTGGCCCCACAGCCAATTCCTGTCTCTTTTCAACTATTCCGCGGCTTCTTCAGTGAAGTTGAGTTACACGCGCCACGAAAGGCTCGTGAGTGTTTCCACTGTTATATTTCTTATTAGCTTCTGAGGTAGAAGGGTCCAATAGAGGAGGCAAAATCGCACTTCGTCACCGTTCTCTTCCTTGTTTGGCCTACGCCGGTGACGGTACTTTGAAACAACACCCGCTTATAGATTCCTGATTAATTTCCTCCACAATCCATCTTTCTTGCTGTCACCCAAATTTTGGATTCGATTCTGTTTGGTGAATATCGATCCCATGAGGTTTCTATCAGGGTTTTAGGTAAGAATCGATTTACCCGTTTGCTTGTTTTGCTCAATTTCGCACTTTTTGTGGTAACAGTTCTGATTTTTTTAATGAAGTTTCTGTTAATTTGGATGCTTGTTGAAGATGTTTAAGGTTGTAATTGAACTGGGTTGTCTCTGTTTTGTGGGCATACTGAGTCATTCTTTTGATGCTTTGCATGTTGGGATTTATGTTTACTTTTTTTTTGGGTGCGAAATTCACGCTTTCAATAAATTTCTTTGGGTTTTTATGTTTTATTTTTGTTGCTTATCATCTTTCTTTCTTTTTTCGTGTGTGGAATTTCGTATATGATGATTATATGCAAAAATTTTAGGTTTTTCTTTTTCTTTTTTGTGTGGAAAATCTAGTATTTTGATATAAATTGAATGGTCCCTGAAATATGAATTTGTTGGTTTCGTTTAGTTAATTATGGGTATTTAATGCTTACTTGTACATATATATATATATATATATATTTTTTTTTTTTGAAATGGACTTGAAATATAAAGAGGCTGATGGGATTGATGGACTATTGTAGATAAGGGGGGCTGTATAACTTGTATTCTTGAAATGCCATTTATATTGACATATTATGAGATTTTTGGAACTTCAAAGCTAAATCTGAAGCATGTTGAAGGTTAGAGATAGCCAATTTGGATAATAGTGCATGTTGGAAATGAAGTTAGTTTGAACCTTCTTGGTGATGGAGGAAATCGTCAATCGCATCTCATTCATAGTTAAGGACTTTCTGTGTAACAGTCTTGTGCAGTTTTCATATACATTATGTCATCACAGTATCTGGAACATGTTATTTATATATATATATTCTCACTGTAATTGGCTTCAAGGGTGGAAAAGCCTGTAACTTTCACTAAACAAGAAACTTACAAGTTAATAGACCGATGCTTGGTTCCTCTTGTTTACCCGCTCTTTTAGTTTTCTGGTATGCAAACTTAATTCTGTTCTAACATGTCTTCCTTTACATTTTGAGATTATATTATTTGTTTAGACCATGCATTTCTTGAAATTGTTATTCTTTACAAGCAAGGGAAAGAATACTTGAAGAGTAGATAATAGAGAAATTAAGGGAAAGGGAGAGGAAATAGGATGGAAAGATAGAGGGAATAGGAGAGTGGAACAGTGAGAAATTAGGGACTAGAAATCTTAACACTTGAAGTCAAATGTCAATTCATGATATGCCAATAACTAAAAGTTACTAGAAATTGAAATACCACATTTAATCTTAAGTGCCCTAATAGTTTCCTAAATACTAAAACTTACATTGAGAAAGTAAAATACATGTAAGAAATTTCTAGGCTATTTAGCTGTATAACAAGCATGATCTTGTTCTGCGTCAATTTCTTTTTAATGGTTTATTGAACTTAAGTCATTTGTTGGGAATTCCCGAGTTAGAATCCATTTAAGGCTTTAAGCACATTGTAATATCGTTGAACATAATCTCTGACAATGCATGTAAGCAAGCACTTGTTTCTTCTTACTTCCATGTTCATCTTTAATTTGGTACCAGTATTTCCTAGGAGATTTCTGACGTTGATGTTTCTCCATGTACACCAATAGCTTTTTATTTATTAGATGATATTCAGTAATGTGAAAAGTTACGGTCTCGCTTTGTGGGCTTTTGCGTGCTGTAACAACTAACAAGGATGCTTTCTATAGGTCCTTGATTTGTTTGAAACAGTGTGAACTCTGTCAATTAAGCTAATATCCATTGACCATACAATTGACACCATCTTTTTTAATTTTGATCACAGTTATGGAGGCACGACCTGCTTTATCCATTCAGAGATCAGGTGCAAGTCAGCTTATTAACAATGGGGTATCTGGAGGACTGTCATCATCTTTACCCATCCTTTCAACACATCTGGAAGAGACATATGAAAAGTTCCCCGATACTCAACAGGCACATGCAGAAAGGGAACTCATGACTAGGTCTTTGTTCCACACAACTCGTCTTCCCACCAGTAATGGGGTGGTTGGTCACATATTTTCATCATCGTCTGGAGTTTCAAGTGATATTCATTACACATCTGCATTACCAAATGAAAAGCATTCAAGAAATTCTCCTTTCATTTCTGAATCGCCACCTAATACTGCAGCATTGCCATTAGCACAATCGTTAAATTCACTGTTGCCTCAATCTACAATACCTAGTCAATGCAACAAAGAAAATAGTGGTTCTTGGTGTACAGATACTGATTTTCTTGATTTTCCTGTAAGCATCTCTGTGCTGAGCAGTCAATTAGAAAGCAGTCAATGAGATCTGATGACTTTGGCAAACAAAATGGTTGGCAGGAACGGGCAGACCAGCTTATCACTGGTGATGATGCATTGGCCTCCAATTGGAATGAGCTTCTTGCTGACAACGTTACAAATTTGGAACCAAAGGTGTGGATGCTTTCATGCCATGGAAGATAAAGCTTACCTAGATGAAGTTGAGACCTTTTTGCATTGTTTATCTTTGACTTATACTTCCTTCTTGTTGCTTCAGACGACATATCAGGTGGAAAAACCATGCACAACCGGACCTGCACAGAATCAGCAACTTCCTTCTCCATCTGTAGAAAGTCAAAGTGTTGTAAACCCCTCTTCATCAGTAAATAATTCCCCGGCAAAATCACGAATGCGGTGGACACCAGAACTTCATGAAGCCTTTGTTGAAGCTGTCAACCAATTGGGAGGCAGTGAAAGTGTGTTACATTCATTTCTCATGAAACTTATTACAAAAGTCATTAGGGTTATGTTATGTTTTGATTTGTTTGGTATTTTCAACTTACAGGCAGGGATTTAAATAGCGTTTTCGGTCGCGTCGCGTTTATCGCGGTTGCGGACATAATGGATGCCATCGCGGTTACTGCAGGTGTCGCGGTCGTGAATTATTTTAAATTTCGCACAACTTATCATAAGACATAATAATTATAATTATAATTATAATTATAAGGAGTTATTTTTAATGATTTTTAGAATATTTTCTAAGCTAAAATGACATATATTTTTTTTTGATAAGATTAGAAGGCCTCATTAAAAACCTCCTTCATGATTAATGGATCTTGAGAGCTCCTTAATCATTGGAAGGAGGAAAAGAGCGCCTTAGATTTCATTAAAGAAAATAAGATTACAACCTCGATAACTCTCCTCGAAATAACCCTTACAACATTACAAAAACCCCACCCGAACAGGAATCAACAGCTAAACTGAAACAGCAAACAACATAAAAATTAGCCTATTCCAGCCTTTGCTAAAGCATCGGCGTCCATATTAGCTGACCTAGCAACCCAATTTATAACCCCCCCAAAGCTCTAAGATTGTCAACAATGTCCCTAACAACGAACGCATAAACACCTGGGCATGAATTAACATTGTTAATCCAGTCTACTGCAACTCTGCTATCACTCTCAACAATCAGCCTATCTTTGACCCTCCCTTGAGCAGAAGCATATAATAAAATACCCCTCTGAATAGCTTTAAGTTCAATCAAAGTCGGAGGTCCCGGACCAGCTGGCTCATGAAAAGATCCTAGGACTGAACCTGAATGATCCCTCCAAATACCTCCAATACCCGATTTCTTCCAGTCACTACTAACGGCTGCGTCCACATTCAATTTTAAAAAACCTGAAGGGGGAGGTCCCCAAGGAAGTGAGGAAGACTTCATAGAGCAGTAGGGCGAGTAGGAATCTGCTAATGAAGGATCCATAATCAAGGAATCCTTATGAATAGAACCGTCCTTGTGCTTAGCTAGAAACCAAGAAGCCAATCTAACCCGTGATAAGAAAAATAACTCTAACTGATCAAGTTTTCCTTTTTCAAAGACAATAAAATTCCTGGCCTTCCAAATGGTCCAAATGATAGCCCCAGGAATGAAAGCCCAAATAGAAGAATTTGAATTCAACTCATCCCAAGCGGTGAGAAAGGTTTTTGCATCAGCAGGAAGCACAGAACTAAATCTCCAAAAATTATAAAACTTGTACCACAAAGCCCATGCAACCGAACATGTAAAGAATAAGTGCATGGAAGTTTCCTCAACCAACTTACAAAGAGGGCACAAATCATCTTCGATACCTTGAACCCCTCTTTTGATCAGTTCGGATTTAACAGCTAGCTTGCCAAGCACAACCTGCCACATTAAAGATTCAACTCTAGGGGGTACCAAACCTCTCCAAATAATGTTATTCCAGAAGCAACCATCGTCTGATCCAAGAGCACACCTTTTAATACAAGAACTGACTGAAAAAACACCATCCCCATTGCCTTTCCAAATTAAAACATCACTAGAATCTTTAGACAAAGAATAGGGAGATATAAAGCTCATCAAGTTACACCATTGTTCAACCTCCCAATCATTTAAATTTCTTCTAATTTGAACATCCCAAACCCAGCCAGAAGGATAGAATTCCCCAAACTCACAAAGTTTACCTGATCTATTAGAAGAAACCGAAAACAATCTAGGAAAAAGAAACTGAAGCGGATAATCTGCAGCCCAATTATCTTGCCAAAAACGAATAAGCTTACCATTTCCAACATAAAAACTACACAAACTTCGAAACTTAGAGCCAAAGGAGTCTTGTTTATAATAATTGTTAACCACCGATCTCCAAAGCCACGAAGATTGAGTAGGAACCTTGCTATCAAACAGTAACCTTGAAGAATCAATGTTGTATTTGCTACAGATAAAATTCCTCCAAACAGAGTGTCTCTCATTTGCAAATCTCCAACACCATTTCCCTAGCAATGCTCTATTCATACTAGTCAGATTCCGGACTCCCAGACCACCCTCGTTCTTAGGTTTACATACATCATCCCATTTAACCCAGTGAATCTTCTTCGAACCATTTCCCCCTCCCCCTCCCCATAAAAAATTAGACATGATCGAATTTAGAGTCTTAAGGATTGAAACTGGAATCTTGAACATAGACAAGAAATATGTAGGCAGTGAGGACAGAACCGATTTGATCAAAACCAGTCTCCCTGCTAATGAAAGTGTAGCAGCCTTCCAACCCGCTAATTTAGTATGAAAATTCTGCACCACTGGTTCCCAAATAGCCGATGCATTCTTAGTTGCCCCTAATGGGAGACCTAGGTAATTAGAGGGGAAACTCCCCACCGAACAACCAATAGAGGCTGCCCAGGTCTGAACCTCCTCTTGGGATATATTAATCCCAAACAAACTGCTTTTCTTTAGATTTAGTTGCAGCCCTGACATAACCTCAAAAACTCTGAGTACCCTCTTCACATTCATTATCTGTGTTTTCGAAGCTCCACAGAAGATAATTAAATCATCAGCAAACTGTAAATGTGTGAGCTTGAAAGACCCTTCCTCCTTACCAACTGTCAAACCAGAAAATAGTCCTTCAGAAACAGCCCTCAGTATTAATAAATTCAACAACTCCCCTACTAGATTGAATAACAAAGGTGAAAGTGAACACCCCTGTCTTAGTCCCTTGGCCATCGAAAATTCCTCGGTTGGAGACCCATTGACTAACACTGAAATGGAGGCCGTAGAGACACATTTCCTGATCCAACTAATCCAAGTCGAACCAAATCCCATCTTTTCCATCACCTTGAATAAGATAGGCCAATCAACCGTGTCATAAGCCTTTTTGAAATCTACTTTAAAAACACAACCCTTCAGCCCTTTCTTCCTCCAATAATCAATGCCCTCGTTAGCAATGAGAGAGCAATCCAAAATTTGCCGACCGGGTATAAAAGCAAATTGTGATTGACTGATGATCTCTCCCATACAGCTTCTAATCCTCCTTGACAGACACTTGGAAAGAATCTTGTATACACCTCCTACTAGACTGATCGGTCTATAATCATCTAAACTTCCAATATTAGAACCCTTAGGAATAAGGGTAATAAAGGTGTGGTTAATACCATGTTCCCAATTTTTCCCCCTGTGGAATCTGTGAAAAAATTGCATGATGTTACCTTTAAGTTCAGACCAAAACTTCTTAAAAAATCCCAAGTTCAATCCGTCTGGCCCCGGAGCCTTATTACTATCACAAGACTTTAAAGTCTCCCAAACCTCTTCCTCCGAAAATGCCTTCTCCAAAAAAATGTTTTGATCCATGGAAATTCTAGGAAACGTCAACCCAATGTCTTCCACATCCAAAGTAGACCGATTATTGAAAATATTAAAAAAGTGCTCTTTAACAGTGGCCTTAATTACTGCTGGATCATGAGTAATATTCCCCTCAATTAACAAGGCATTCAACGCATTCCGTTTTCTTCTCACTGAGGCGCAAGTATGGAAGAATCTAGTGTTTCGGTCCCCATCGTTAATCCACTTCTTTCTGGAATTTTGAAACCAAATTTGTTCCTCAATTCTCAGAAATTTCCACAACTCTGATCTACAATTACGTAACTCCTCGATTTTCCTTTGAACCGAACTGTCCTGCACCATCTGAACGTCCTCCTCTAACTTGTGAATTCTCCTTTCCAAATCTGAGATAGAGGCTCCCAGAAATTGATTTTTCTGCCCTGTCCAATTCTTAATGGCAACCTTAGACTTCTTCAAAACACTTAGGATTCCAGCTTTTCTCCCATCCTTCTTGCAATCTGCTATAGTGTGACAGACCATTTCCTCAAAACCTTCTTCCTCCATCAAATAATTATATAGTCTGAAAGGTTTTTTCCCCCAATCAACTCCGCCATCTTGTAAAAGAATAGCATTATGGTCGGAAATAGACTTAGGAATAAGTGACTGAATTACCTCGGGAAAACCATCCAAGAATTGTCCGTCCACCAAAAACCTGTCCAACCTAACAAAAGTCGGATCATCTTGGTTATTGCACCAAGTGAACCTTCCCCCATTCATAGGCAGATTAATTAGGCCTGTTGACTGAATAAACTGAGTGAAAATCCTCATTGAAAGTATGTTCTGAGCTCTGCCCACCTTCTCATCCTCACACAAGTAGACATTAAAGTCTCCTCCAACACAAACCGGTAGCTCCTGTCCAGTAATGAACACGCTCAGTTCTTCAAAAAAACTTTCTTTTTCTACATCCACCGAGGGTCCATAAACATTAATGAGAATACTTCTGAACTGATTAAACCTGAACTTCCCTATAACCGCAATGAATCTTCTGTTAATACTGTGATTTTCCATTTCAAACACATTATCATCCCAACAAAATAATAACCCCCCTGTAGAACCAGTAGCTGGAGATTCAATAACCCCCTGAAAAATATTCAATCCCTTCCTTCTCAAAAAAGACCTATGGATGTTCTCTGTTTTAGTTTCTTGTAACCAAAGAAAAGAAGGATGATAGTTGGAGACTAATCTTTGAACTGCTCTTTGTTTCTCTCTTTTTCCCAACCCCCTGACATTCCATGAAATTATAGCTAGTTTATCCTTCATAAAAACTGATGAATAATCTAGTTTCCCCAAAATGGCAACTTAGTTTGCCTCCTTCAAACCTTTCTCTAGCTCAATGATTTTATCCAAGAAAGCTTCCTTCCCCTGTGTAAAGGAAACCCCCAGAATCTGACTAACTTGCCATGTAGCTACTGCTTCATCCAAGATTTCCGAGAAACCTGAAGAAGATGCTGTATAAATATTGACATGTTCCAAAGCTTCTCTAACCAGAATTCTTTTTGCCCTTCTCTTATAAGGGTCAGAATTGTAGATAGACAAATGTTTTCCCTCAACACCACCTTCGGACTTTCCAACCAAACTCCTGGCCCCAGCTTTATCCACTGAATTTGGAACCTCACTGCCCCGTAAATTAGACTCTGATGTTGTAGTAATCTGGAGAACCGTCGTATGGTCCTGTTCATTAGCCTTCTTTAGGCCTATCACATCCTCTGTAGCATTATTTTCTTTTTGATCATTCCCGTACCAGTAATTCCTTTCCTTACATCTTCTGTAGACTCTTCTAAAGCTAGCCATTTCCCTCCTCTGAAGAGGCTCACTTTTTGTAGAAAGGGAACTTCTGCGCACCCCCCTCGTTCTGCCCCTTGATAAGCTCTTTGATAATTCTGAACTAGGAGCTGTCAGCTTAGAGTTAGTGTTATTAACCTCCCGATCCGCACTGCCGGGCGAACCTGGAATAGAGCTGAACCCCTTACATTGTTTTCTAACACAGCTTGCTTCTGCAGTTCCCCTATTCTGGACCAATTTACCAAATTTATTAATTGTATACACTGGCCCAAAAGGAATTATTTTAGAAGCCTCCAAACCACCCAGTTCAAAGTCCTCAGATTGGGCTTCTGGCCCATCAGCCGAACTTTTTGAAAGTCTAATACCCAGACCTGCAAAGTCACCTCTGATATTCCCAAGGTTCTGACCATCTGACACTCCTTCATTAATATTTTTCCCATGTTTAGTAAGTCTTGGAAGATGTTGTTTTTCACCATCAGTACCTTCTGAACCAAATGCCATGCCCTTTTCAATCCACAAGTCAACCTTTTGTCTGAACGTCTCAGCTGATTTGACTGAGCTTTCCTCATAATCTGACTTCCCTCTATAATCGCCTTCCTCAGACCCTGTCTCACTAAACTGTTTCCCAAATGTTCCGGTCGTCGGAGAACATTTAAAAAAATGATCTGAATCTTCACTAGCTGATGCAACTTTGATGGAGACTCTATACGATCTACCATAGGAGCCGAGAGTAATATTATCGGGAACATCAAAAGGACTAGCAACTCTCATAAGAATTCTAGCAGACGTGAGATCATCCCTGTTCTTTGTGGACTCATGAATTTCTACGTTATTCCCCCATCTCCCAGCAACTTGTACCAAAAAAGTTTCATCCCAGCATAACAGAGGCACCCCAGATAACTCGAGCTGGCAGAAAGCCATTGGCACTCCTTCTTCATTCAGTAAAGGGGCCACCCTGTCAAACCAGAAGCCTATAACACCTCTCTTCTTTGTCCATGCCTCCGACATCTCCTCTTGAGATTTGAATATGATAGCACAGGAGTTACGGGCATAACCCCAACCAGCAATCTGAACTTCATAACCGTTATTGAGGAAAAACTCATAAACTGACTTAAAATCAAGAGAGAGCTTAATAATCCCCGTTAAAGATCTTCTGACCCAACTCCGACCCTCAGTTGGGATATACATTTCCAATACATTCTTCTTGGTTTTCTCCCTATGGCTCCCTTCAGAACATTTCTCCCTATGCTCCAATGCATTCACCCTCGTAACCTCAGTAAGTAAAGCATCTCTGTACGTTCTATCATCTCTAACATTCCTACCGGATAAATCTACCTCTTTCAGCTTAAGAGGTCCTGCTGTGGACAAATCTGGAACCAACTTACCTGGACTCTCTTTTGCCACAATCCTTGGACGAGCATCATTGTATTTAGCAACTCCAACAGAAATCCTTCTCCCGTCTATCAGTGAACCATTTAACATCTCGATTGCCCTCTTCAAACTAGATTCCCTCTCAAACTGAACAAAAGCGAAAGTGGAAAATCTGTATTTTGGATTTTTGGTTTCTTTCGGGATGAAAACTCTCTCCACAGTCCCATGGGACGAAAAGATATCCCTCAGCTCCCTCCGAGAAACTCTCCTACTAAGATTATCGACAAAAGCCTTCCAGACCTCGTCGGAAACTATTTTCCCTTTTAACTTTTCTCTCTCTACTTTTCTCTCTCCCATTGTTTTTCTCTTCTTGGTAGGAGTAGTTTTGGAGCTGAATAATACAAGCAACTTTTGAAATGTCACTTCTTAAAATGACATATATATACATATATATATATATATATAATATAATTTAACTATATAGAAGACTTTAAAACTCTGATAATAAGACAAGATAACTAATTTATGATAACATTGTGAACACATTATTATTTAAATTACTAAAATTAGGATATAACTGAATAAAAATTGGCCCAAAATATTTTGTTTTAAGCCTGCCTAAAATATTAAATGTGTGCACAAAGGCTTGGGTTAGATTACCCTTTAACCGATCTCTTCACTGCAGAAATACAGAACAGCTAGATACAGACCAGAGCTATCAGAAGGTATATGTTAATCTGCCTTTACATTTCTTCCTTTTCCTTAGGTGTGTTACTTCGCTGCAAGCATGCATCTATTGCCTTTGTTTCTTTATTGGAACATGTATATATTTTAAAAGGGCGGTTCATTCCTTGATATTTGTTCAATGTTTTCTCTTAGTGACTTATTGGGGTTGAGGTGGATAGTTTGGAGCTACACAGTCCATCTTGTCCTCATCAATGAAGTAGATATCATTTTTAAAAAATAGTTAATTGATTCAAGAATCTTTAGCTGTCCAGTGAAGATTTATTTATTTATTTGATAGAAATAGGGCCTCATTAAAAAAAAACCTTCATAACCATTAAGCTCCTAAAAACTCAATGATCATAGGAAGGAGGAAAAGAGTGCCCAAAGATTTATTACTAGAGTAAGAGATACAACTAATTCAGAACATAAAATACAATAGAAAACCCCTTTAAACCAACCCCAAAGACAACCACCAAATACAAACAAAACACAAAACCTTGTCCTAGTCCAGTGAAGATTTATGATGCATATCTACCTTGCACTCAACAAATCTCCCATCCCATACTGATATATTGAATGTTATAGCAGTGTAAGTGAATGGATGGATGAATGGGATGGTGAGGCTTGATAGATGTATAGCCCATGTTTTCCTCATTAATGAAGTGGAGATAATTTCTTCTCCATTTGGTTAAGCCAGTTCCAGGATCTCTTCTGTCTGCTGAAATATGTTATCTGCATTTGCGCTCTCTTTGCACTCGATTTATTCATGAAACTGGTTATCTTTTTAATTGACATGGACACTTTTAAGTTTGGCAGATCAACCCTGTAGGACTTCTTCCTTTCCTCTTATCTGAAGAAGTAGGAATCTATCTAGACTTTAATGACAAGAATCGGAGGAAAGATGCATAGTTTTGAATAAATATGAATAGAACAAGCAACAGATTTTTTCTGTCATATTTAGATTGTCACTTCCCCTCATTAAGCTAGCTAGTGGTAGCGCAAGTGTCAGAAAGGAAAAAAATGGATGAATGCATTCATGGATGAAATTAGTGATCCACCTTGTACATCTGATAACATTGCATACAAGGAATGTGACCTATCTGATAGAGAGACTTCTTTGGTAGCTTAGTCAGAAAGAGACCAAACACAAGTAATTTCATCATGGTTATGTTGCCTGGTCATTTGCAGAACTTCATTACCTTATTGTTCACTGTATCAGAGAAAGACATAGAATAGATTAATTGACTCAACTCCCACAGGTGTAGCATTGAACCAAGAGAAATTATAGATTTGTTCGTGTATCCCTTGGGATCCATATACATTTATATAGACAAATTATTTACAAAATTACAAGTATAGCATTTTGTATGAAGCACATCTCCATATCAGATCTATTACTTATTTCTCAAAAGATACTTTGTCATTTCAGTTACTTTGGTTATTGGATCATAAAAGATTTGACTCATTATGCATATTGGATCCTCAAAAATTCAGTGTGTGATTGGGGGGTGATGCTGTATATTTAGCTGAAATATTGACTCTTGCTTTCAGGATCCTCGGAGAAAAAATTGACTTCTATGGAAGAAATCTCGTCTCTGGACCTGAAAACGTAAGTAATTTCTAATGTTTTACCAATGATTTCTATTAAAATTGTATGTATTTATTAGTTATTTGTTTTTTCTAGCTTAATGAATTGCATCGGTGACATTGTTTGAGCATCTGCTTTTATACTTCGCTTGCTTTAATAAAGTATGAGTAGCATACTTGGTAATTATTTGGACCTTTTTTGCTACAAATAAGTTGGATGCTGCCATACCTAGCTGGGAAATATCACCTTTTAACGACATGGTTAGTGATCGAGGCAAGGGCCTGGAACCATGAAATGATGGTTGATTCATCTTGTTAGTTCATACTTTAGTTCCCTTAAATTGTCGTATGCTTCAAAAACAAAAAATGTTTGCCATGAATTTTCCTTGGTAAATTCTATTTGATAGGGAGATGAAGCTGCAAATTTAACAGTTTTCCCATTTTATTGCATTTTGCCAAGATTTGAATATAGAAAATTCTGAATGTAATCATTAAGAAGCATATCATATAATCAAGGTCTAATGAAGTGTCAGTTAGTTGATTCGTTTAGTTTGCCGTTCCTCATATTAAGTGCATTTCTCATTCTGAACTGGAACAGGGGAATGGGGATCACTGAAGCTTTGCGGTTACAGATGGAAGTCCACAAGCGGTGCACGAGCAGCTTGAGGTATGAATTTGTGTCGGGAAGGATTTGGGGACTTAAAAGCAACATACTTTGTAATTAAAGAAAATTGAATTAAATAAATCCACCTTTAAATTTGCCTTGGAGGAAATAGAGAACGAAAAATCTTTCTCCATTTTAGAGAAGTAGAATTATGTTTCTAGTGTGCACTCATTCAGATTCATTGGTTTTGGATTTTGAACCTGGAAAAAGTGATTTTATTTCCATTAGATTTTTGGGGAAGTTGTGGGGGGGGGGGGAGGTGATCTGCTGGATATTCGAACATGGAGGGATATGAATAAATGATGCCTATTGGATTAAGGGTCTTGCTATTGCCTCCTAGTTATCATATGTGATGTGGCTGTTGCATTGCTTAATTGGTGGACTGATTTATTAGGTAATCCATCATGCCTTGTGGAGGTGTGCACCATTATAATCAAAGTTCTGAATGAACCCTTCACTCATTGATGTTCCAATTTTTTCTAAGGGGTCTATTGGTGTAGCCGTCATTTCTTTTGTTTCTCCTTTTCTATACAGATTCAAAGAAATTTGCAGTTGCGAATTGAAGAACAAGGGAGGTACCTCCAAACGATGTTTGAGAAGCAAAAGTCAGGTTTAGACAAGCTGAAGGTATCATCTTCTAATCCAGAGAATCCACCTGCTTCTTCAGATGCTACTGATGAATCTCCTACAAAAAGTGAACGGGAATCCTCCCAGAGGGATCATGTAAATTCCAGAACAGGCACTGTTAATGCCAAGTCCATGTCGGAGAGAATTCCACACGAAATTTGTGGACAGCATAAAGCACCTGAAACTGGTGATCTAGAGAAAGCTAAAACCCGTGTTTCTGAGTTGAGTTCACAACCCTCAAAGCGCCCACGAATTGAAGAATAAGTTATAACAGCTTTGGACTGAGTACCGTAATTAGTTCATGGATGAACTCAGCAGTAGAATAGGCCAAGTTGAGATAAGGTTAGGGCTTTTGAAGTTTTAAGGTCCTCTTCCCTCTTGTTATTGTGAACAATTCGCTTAAGCACTCCTGCCTTTAGCTGGAAAAAAAGAGAGCTTACAAACTAATTTGATTATCCTGTCGCCAACTTCCTCAAGTGAAAATGCAGGTGCATTATAAACACAGGTTGCATTAGTTAAGACAGTAAAGGAGCAACCAATTTTTTAGGGAATTTAGTTCTCATAAACTTTGTGGAAAGATGTGAATAAAATTCCCATTCCGAGATTTGTACATGGCTTCAATTTACTGTTGTCCGTATGGATCATGTTTACTAGTATTTCCTTCCAAGTAAAGGAAAAATTATAACCATTGCGCTGTGTAAGTGTGCGTGTAGATAAATATTATAAATGACAATGACCCTTTGTTTGACATTTATAGTGTATATAACTCTTGTAATCATTCTAACCTATTAAAAAAGTGTATATAATTATGGAACTCATTAAGTGGCTTCTCTAGTAAAAGAGAATGCTATATTTTCTAAAAAATTCAGGTTTAGGAAGTTATGTTGATAGAAAATATTTTTCTATTTCAATTTCGAACTTTGAGGGTTGATATCTATATATATAGATGGATAAAATGTATGTATTAAATCTAAAAGTAGCAAACTGTTACAAATTAACAAACACAACCTTGTCAATCAAAAAGAAAAAACTAGAACCCCTGCCCTATATACAACTGTGGATGAACGTTTGATTTCACTATATCCTTACCAAAATCCTCACATGTACAACCTCCCTAATAGATTTAAGAATCTCATCCTCATTCTTAATTAAATTTCTAAAACACCTCCTATTTCGTTTTTCCCAAATAAAATGTGTACAATCATTCTAAGTAACCCTCGAAAGTAGAGTAAAAGGTTTTTTACCTCTCCTCTGACTCGTAGCTCATCTTAGCTCCCAACACTAGTTCCACATATTACGCTAAATACCACATCAAGGTAGGATCGCTTTCCATACACCACACGAAGAGGGATAAGCAAAAATAAGCGGTCCCTCGACTCCGCGTCAACACCGCACAACACGCATTTAACATCCACATCAACCCCATCCTTCTTAGAGTATCTTTTGTTGTCAACCAATCCAACATAACCTTCCACGATAACATGTCGAGGCACATGGAGTGGAAATCACAACAGCTTGTGCAAACCTTCTCCTTCCTCTCGTCTCTTACCAAATCTTACGTGCATGGAGTACTCAAATCCCATACGTTGCAAATGTTTTTCCTTGTGGCCAGAGCTTCCTTTGTAATGATTTCCCTTTTTTTAAAAAAAAAGGAAACTAATTTCCATTTGCTAGTTTATTTACACTCCTTACTGTTCTTACTATTTTTCAAGACAGTAGCTACGGCAGGAGAAAATTGAATTTATTTTCATGAAAACACGTATCGTGAATGAATGCTTGGTCTTTGGGCATGCTTTTCCCTTATATCTCTCTGTTATATGTGAAGTATGGTTTGCCTTCTCCTCGATACTCAATCAGTTCCCCATACTCGAGAAACTTACCAGGATCGCCTGTCCTTGAGGTTTGAGCGTGAGGGAGAACCAAATCAACTAAGCTCAGTTAATGTCTTTGTGAGTACTGAGTACTGTTGACCCCTCTCAAGGAACCATCCATCATTACATCATACACGGTTATTGTGAGTGTTAATTATCCTGTTGAGAAAGTGAGTTGTTATGTATCAGGTGATGATGCTTCCATGCTTCTTTTTATCACACTATCCAAAACTGCTGAGTTTGCAAACGGGTATAGATCAACATTTTAGGATTAGATGGACTTCAAGGTCCTGTAACAGGCAGGCACTGTATGGCTACGATCCACCCATCTCCAAGAAGCGGCTGAAGATTACATGACATTTGACTGCTTCCCTTCATGGTGTTGCTGTTGCTGGTGGTCTTCCGCACACCAAGAAGAAGAAAATAACGGGAAAGAACTATGTGAAAAAAGGGTCTGCACCAGTCTTCGGTATCGGATATGGTGAGGGTAGTGGCTGGGGTTTCTGATACGATTAACGATTTACTGTTCATGGGGTCCGATGTCGGGAAGCTATTTTTGACATTCCGGGTCATTCTTCACCTTTATCCTTCCCGCAAAGGTTTGATGGGAAGGCAAAACATGACTCCAACAATTGTTGTCTTGTGGTATGTACTTCTTGCATCAATTTTCTCACTGGGCTGAGTTTGGATTGATCCATTCTTGCCTAAGCAAACAGGTACAGTCCTCAAACAATGTGTAGCTGTAGGTGGAGTGCCTAATCATATGCCTTTCCGGTCCGTTACACCGCAAACATCGAAACTTTTTGATGGTTTATCTATCCAGAAAGTATATATAGTATATGAGATTTTGTTGGTGAAGCAAAAAAAGGTGTCATTGATCGCTTCTGGCAAGTAATGTAAGATCAGAAACAATTGCCCGCTTCTTTAATACATTTTACAACGTGATACCGATACCATTTGAAGTCGAAACTTCGAATCGTAAGTCTAACTTCCTATGATACTGGGATTCAATTGGCTCTTTGCTCTTCCAAATCCAAATTGAAACTTGCTGGTCTGTTCCGTACCGTTATACTCTTTAGGCTAGCAAGCATGCTCATGGTTATCGTTCCCAACGGTTCATTGAGGCAGGCCTGTGTTCCCACCGACAGTTCTTGCGCTACAAAATGCATGGGAGGTCGGGACTCCGGAGTGGCACGTGCACAGGCTAAGCCCACCATCACTGCAAACACGACATCAGTAACCATATGTCCGGTGGGAGGTGGAAGTCGTTGGTCTAACACATCCATTAGAAACAATTTTTTGTTGTTTGATGACAATGGCCTTGATAGTGAACTCAAAAGCTCCCCTGGGTGCTTTCCCAGCATAAGTTCTAAGGTTACCACTCCAAAGCTATAAATGTCACATTTTTCAGTGATTCGGGCTGCGAGTGCGAGCTCTGCATAAAACAAAGTTCGTTCCCCATTAAACAAAAGGGAAGAGTCATGGAAACTGTAACTGCTAAAACATTATCATGCAAAATGAATTAATTAAACAGTTAACCAACCAGGTGCAATGTAGCCATAAGAGCCAACAACTGCGGTAAAGTTGGATGAATTTGGATTCATCAATCTTGCAACACCGAAATCCGAGAGCTTTGGTGTAAATTCTGAGTCGAGCAAAACGTTATTCAAAGATATGTCTCTGTGTATAATCGGCGGAGAGCAGTGATGATGCAAGTAAGCGACTGCATGAGCCAGTCCCTGCACGATTTTCAACCTCGTCGGCCATCCCAGAGCCTCCTCACCGCCCTCTGCTCCATATAACACACTTCTCAAACTGCCCCTCTCCATATATTTGTAAACCAGATACATAAGCTCCCGACTAGAAAAGAATCCGTACAACTTGACTATATTTAGATGCCGAACTTTTATCATCATCCGAACCTCATTCTCGAACATCCGACTGGTAACTTGAATGTCCTGAGAGTCAGAGAAATTGAGTTTTTTTACCGCAACCACCTGACCTGTACGTAATTGCGCTTTATAAACACGTCCGGATCCTCCTATGCCGATGCAGTGTTCGTCATCGAAATTCTCTGTTGCTTGTACTACATCACTGAATGTAAATGCTGCATTTCTTTCCCATACAGTTGATGTTACAGAAGTGTCCCGCCTGATACCAAATCTAGTCTCCTCGTTGAGCACTCGGCTATGCTGATAACGTATAAGAACTACAACGACGATTAGCCCCACAAAGAATACGCTTGCAAATGAAACAATGGTGGCTATAAGAACCCTACTGCTGTGATTTCTAGACCTACTGGAAGTTGATTTGCAATGAGTTACTTCTTTAAAATCTCCACACATACCTGAATTTCTCACAAAAGCTCCTACCGGAGCATTTCGGAACACACCATCACGTGGAATGGGACCAGCAAGCTTATTGTAGGAGAAATCGAATGAAATAAGATATATCATCTTCGACATTGAAGTAGGAATTCCACCCGAGAGATCGTTATGTGAAACGTTGAGTTTCTCCAATAATAGAAGCCTATCAAGGTCTTCAGGGATTGCTCCTGACAGTGAATTGCTGCTGATATCCAAAAGAGAGAAACGATATAAGTTACCCAACTCGGGTGGTATTTCGCCAGATAAGTTATTGTGGCTCAAATTCAGGCTCGATAACTCGTTGCAATTCTCGATAACTTTTGGTATTTTTCCTATCAGTTTGTTCTCTGACAAATCGAGGACTTGTAGACGCGGTAAATTGCCTATACTCTGAGGTATGCCACCTGTGAGATGGTTCTGCCTCAGATTAAGGTTGAACAACAAGCTCAAATTTCCCAATTCCAAAGGAATATCCCCATTCAAGTCATTATATCCCAGGTCTAAAACTCGCAACTGAGTCAACTTCCCAAGCTCAGCAGGAATTCTACCAGAAATTTTATTTCCATCCATTTCTAGATTGGTTAGATATTGACATTCTCCCCACTCCGGTGAGATTTCACCGGTGAATTGGTTGTCACTAAGAGAAATATAGTCGAGCTCAGGATGAACTCCAAATGCATTGGTGATGTTCCCCGTAAATCCGTTCCCTTCAAACCGGACTCTTCTTAACATCGTACAGTTCCTCAAGCAAGCCGGCAACGACCCGGTGAAGGTGTTTCCATTTACTGTGAAGTTTAGAAGAGCAAAACCACTGCACAATTCAGGAGGCAATTCCCCGAAAAACCTGTTGTTGGATAAGCTCACATAATTCAACACAGGACTGTTCTTCCCGAAATCCCGAGGAATGGTACCCGAGAAATTATTGGTGAACACCGAGAATGCTTCTAAGTTGACGAGGTTGGAAATAGTGTCGGGTAATTCTCCGTGCAAGGAGTTTGTGTTGACATCAAAAGACTGCAGGGATGTCATGTTTCCAATCTCTGGTGGAATTGTGCCAATGAGATTATTGTAGAAAAGCTGTAAGGCTTCAAGGTTGGAAAGAGTCCATATCGTCGGAGGAATTGGACCCGAAAGATGATTCTCGGAAAGGTCTAAAACATTCAGGGACTTCAAGTTTCCGATCTCCGATGGAATTGAACCGGAGAGTTGGTTGTTATAGAGAAAGAGGACTTGGAGCTTTGTTAATAGACCGATTTCTGGTGGAATCTTCCCAGAGAAAAGATTGTTTTGAAGTTGCAAACTGATCAAGTTGGTCCAATTAGAAACCAGAGATGATTGGATCTTACCGGAGAACAAATTCTCAGATAAACCCAACTCGGTTAATTCTGTGAGTTGTGACAAGGACAAGGGCAACTCCCCACTTAGTAGGTTACCAGCTAAGTACAGAAAGGTGAGGTTAGTACAAGAACCAAGCACGGATGGGACGGTGGAATTTAAGCCAATGGAATGAAGATCAAGTCTTTTGAGCTTTATCAATTGGCCTAATGAAGATGGAATCTCCCCTTCAAACATGTTTTCGAACAGCTCAATGGTTTCAAGCTCAGGCAGGGTTCCTATACTTGCAGGAATTGAACCATTTAACATATTGGTAGCTAGTTGAAGATGAACAAGTTTGGTAAGCTTAGAAATATTGGAAGATAATGGCCCTTCAAAGGCATTACCAGTGAGATTGAGCGACGCAAGCTCGGTGAGATTGGTGAAAAGTGATTCTGGTATTGGACCAGTCAACCTATTCAATGACAAATCCAGGAAACTAAGATTATGGAAGTTCAGTATAAAGCTAGGGAATTCCAATTCAAATTCATTGTAAGCTAAGCTGAGGTGTGTCAACAACGGCATGGGCAAGAAACGAGACCAGCCCGAAGAAACAAAGTAGTTAAATCCGAGGTCGAGATGTCTTATATTTTGGAGATTGCTAACTTCAGGAGGAATTGTTCCACTAAGATTGTTGTTGAATAAACTCAGATATCGAAGCTCCCTCAAACGACCAATCTCCACCGGTATCTCGCCTTGAAAAGAATTGTTGCTGAAATCCAACACAACCAGCTTGGACAGAGTACCAATTGAAGACGGTATTCGGCCATCCATGGTGTTGTTTCCAAGGTCGAAGCGCGTGAGATTGGCGAATGGGGTGAAGTTGAACTGATAAATGGAACCAGACATGTCTGAATTGGAGAGGTTGATTTGCGAGACAGTTGAAGTGGCATGATCGCAGGTAATGGAAGTCCAGTTGCAGAGATTGTTGAGATTGGACAAGGACCATGAATCGAGAGAAGGTGGCACAATAGACAAAGTGTTCTTCCATTGGACGAGTGCTTCGGCTTGAGTTCTTGATGAACAGGTGGTCTTCAATGGAAGTAAAGAAAGCAAAATAACATGAAAGAGAAGCATGGAAGAAGAAGAAGAAGAGGAAGAAAGGTATTGAGGATTTAAGTCTTTCTGCTTCTTCATTGTCGACCTCCAAGGCTCCAACCATTCAGTCTTTCTATTTGAATATAAAAAGTTGAACAAATCCATATTATTAAACGCGGATTGGATTTTTCCACATCATATCAGACGCAGTTGACTTGTTTTTCTTCTCTGAATTAGGTGGGAAACTACCCAGAAATTCAACGAAGGAGGATCAAAATTAACCAACTGATTGGCATATTTTTATGAATAACTGATTGGCTTATTGTATAATTTGCTTATTCTATCTCAAGATGAAATCCAAGCAGCAATGAAATGGGATGAACATGCAATTAAAACAAGGGTCTAGTCACTCAACTATCATTTTGTTTCTATTTTAGACATCCAACTATTTTTTTTTCAAAATTATACCCAACGTTACGTTTTGGGCATCCACTATTAAAAATTAACGATGATGTTGACGTATCACCAAAGGTAATGCCATGTCATTATTGGAAAAAATATCACATCAATAGTCTGTTTATTTTTCAACAACTAATGACCAAAACAGAACTAAAACATAATATTAAGTATGATTTTGAAGAAACAAAGTTAGAGTGATCAAAACAAAATTAAAGTGATAGTTGACTGACTAAATACATAATTTACCCTTGAAACAATCAAATGGAAAAATAAAGAATTCAGAACTTGGGAAGAAAAATAAAAAGGACTAGGTTTTGGGAGTCAACGGAAAAATCTTATTTCTCATTCAAAGTAGATTACAACAACCACATATGTTTCTTAGTGACTAGCTCAATATTTATACACTTGACGTAAATGTTGGGATTCAAACTTACATAAAGTAAGATAATACTATATGTATTTTGAACCACTCGATTAATTAATGAATATTTAATACATTAATAAATTTATTTTAGGCATAATGCCAAAAGTAATCTCCAACGTTTATTAAAATTATAATTTTGGCTTCTATTCTTTTTTTGGAGTATTTTGGCCCCCATCGTTTTACTTTGGCCGAAAAAACTCCCTCTACAGATGAAAACTATTAGTTAACACACGATTAATAATGTTTCAATATAGGAGCTTTTTTAAACTAAAATGATATGTTGAGGGCTAAAATGCTCCAGAAAAAAAGTATAAGGTACAAAGTGATTATTCTGTCAAATGTTCGGGTCTTTTTGTCCTAAAATAAAATGTTTGAGACCAAAATACTTTTAAAAATTAGAATAAGAGGCAAAATGATGATTTTAATAAAAGTTTGGAACTAAATTTGAAATTATGCATTTGTTTTAATACTTTCTTTGCTTTCTTCACCCTAATTTCTGCAAGCAACTGCTCAACCCATCACGTGTAATGGGGACTGCAAGCTCATTGTAGGAGAAATCAAATGAAATAAAATACGTCGAAGTAGGGATTCCGCTCGACAAATCGTCATATGAAACGTTGGGTTTTTCCAATAACGAAGGTCTTTTGGTATTTTCATTATGTGTTTGTTCTTTGACAAATCAAGGTATTGTAGATTCCATAACTTGCATGTACTCTAAAATACGTCACCTGTTAAAATTCATATTCATCTGTTTCAGCGTTTCACAACTAGAAAAGCAATAGTTTATGAACAAAGAATGTTGAATTCTGCACCTTGCAACTTGGTAATTGGTAGGTTGAAAGCATGGATATGAAGCAAAGCCAGTGGACCATACAGATACAAATGGGGGTACAAATGGACAATACAATACATACATTCTGTAACAAAATAAGAACATGATACAAGGAACAAAAATATCTGCTTTTGTAACAAAAATGCAAGGAAAAACTGGTAAAAAAAAAGACCATTCCTTTGTCTCCCCAGATGAAACCTGGCTATTGTTTCTTCTTTGTTCCATCTCCCAAATCTAATAGCTGCCTGATGGTTACTTTCCCCAATGGCTCGTCTAACCAAGCCTGTGTTTTTGTAGACAATTCTTGTGCCACGGAACGCATCGTCGGTCGTGACTCCGGCATCGACCGTGTGCATGCTAAACCTATTGCGAAAACCGCTGCAACTTCCTCTGCTATATGGTAACTAGGAAGTGGAAGCCGTTGGTCTAGCAAATCCTTGAGAAGCAAATCTTCATTGTCTGATGACAAGGAATTCAAGAACTCCCCTGGGTGCTTCCCCATCATAATCTCCAATGCCACCACTCCGAAGCTGTAAACATCGCATTTACTTGTGACCCGCATTGTGAGTGCAAGCTCTGGAAGACCAAGAACATTGATTGAACAATGTCAACAATCACATTTCAGCTGAAAACTAGAAAGAAAAATGAAAAGATGCAAAGTAAATGGTATGCTAACCTGGTGCCATGTACCCATAAGAGCCGGCAACCGTGGTCCAGTTCGATGAGTTGGGATTCAACAACCTTGCGGTTCCGAAATCTGAGAGTCTTGGCTCATATTCTTCTTCGAGCAGAATGTTGTTCAACGAAATGTCTCGGTGTATGATCGGAGAAGAGCAATCGTGATGCAAGTAAGCAACTGCATGGGCCAATCCTTGCACAATTTTCACCCTTGTATCCCATCCTAGCTCCACTCCCTTTTGTGCTCCATACAATACACTTCCCAAACTACCTCTTTTCACATACTCATACACTAAGTATATGCCGCTTCCTCTAGCACAATATCCGTGCAATTTTATGATATTCCGGTGCCTAACTTCGGTTAACATTTGAATCTCATTCTCGAAACTCTTGTAATTCGTCATTTGAATATCGGCAGAGTCCGAAAAATTGAGCTTTTTAACCGCAACTACTTGACCTGAGGGCAATTCTGCTCTGTAAACACTTCCGAATCCCCCTTTTCCAATGCAGTACATATCATTGAACCCCTCGGTGGCTATTTCAATGTCACCAAATGTAAATTTTCCTTCTCTTTCCCAAATGGTAGACTTGGAAAACTCAGTCCTTTTACTGACTTTAATCTCTTCGTCAACCATTCTGTTTTGCTGGCGGCGATGTACAAACACTACAGCAGCAATCAATGCTAGAAGAAGTATGCCACTGATGGGAACAAGGATAGCTATAAGAAGAACCCTCCTGTTGTTGGAACTTTTGTTTATGGAACTTAAGCTGCAAGGTGCTAATCCATCAATATCTCCACACAAGCCTGAGTTTCCAACAAAAGCATTTGGAGAAGCGTTTCGGAATACCCCGACACTCGGAACTGGTCCTGTTAACTCATTGTACGAGAAATCATACGAATGGAGACTGACCATGGAAGACAATGAAGTAGGGATCCTTCCTGAGAGATCATTGTGTGAAACGTTTAGGTTCTCCAATTGTTCAAGCTTCCTGAAATCTTGAGGGATTAAGCCTGAGAGGGAATTGCTGCTGAGATCCAGCAAAATCTGCAATGTAGATAAGCTGCCAAGCTCACTTGGTATTTCACCAGATAAACTGTTGTGACTCAAGTTCAAGCTCAGCAGTTTCTCGCAGTTCTCAAGTTCAACCGGTATTTCACCAACCAATTGGTTTCCCGATAGATCAAGGAACTCTAGCCTCGCCAAGTTGCCAACAATCCGAGGGATGTTACCGGTGAGTCGGTTCTGCCTCAAATTAAGGTTGAACAACAAGCTCAGATTTCCCAGTTCCAAAGGAATATTTCCAGTCAAGTCATTGGCCCCGAGGTCTAAAACTCGCAACTGAGTCAACTTCCCGAGCTCGGCAGGGATTCTACCCGAAATCCTGTTTCTGTCCATTTCTAGACTGGTGAGATTTTGACATTCTCCCCACTCTTGCGAGATTTCACCAGTGAACTGATTGTCACTAAGAGAAATATAGTCCAGCTCCGCATGAACTCCAAATGCATTGGAGATGTTACCCGTAAATCGGTTCCCATCAAGCCGGACTCTTCTTAACATCGTACAGTTCCTCAAGCAAGCCGGTAACGACCCGGTGAAGGTGTTTCCATTTACTGTGAAGTTTCGAAGAGCAAAACCACTGCACAATTCAGGAGGTAATTCCCCGAAAAAGCTGTTGTTGGATAAGCTCACATAATCCAACACAGGACTGTTCTTCCCGAAATCCGGAGGAATAGTACCCGAGAAATTATTGGTGAACACCGAGAATGCTTCTAAGTTGACGAGGTTGGAAATAGTGTCGGGTAGTTCTCCGTGCAAGGAGTTTGTATTGACATCAAAAGACTGCAGGGATGTCATGTTTCCAATCTCTGGTGGAATTGTGCCACTGAGATTATTGTAGAAAAGCTGTAATGCTTCAAGGTTGGAAAGAGTCCATATCGTCGGAGGAATTGGACCCGAAAGATGATTCCCGGAAAGGTCTAAAATATTCAGGGACTTCAAGTTTCCGATCTCCGATGGAATTGAACCGGAGAGTTGGTTGTTATAGAGAAAGAGGACTTGGAGCTTTGTTAATAGACCGATTTCTGGTGGAATCTTCCCGGTTAAATTATTGTTTTGAAGTTGCAAACTGACCAAGTTGGTCCAATTAGAAACTAGAGATGATTGGATCTTACCGGAGAACAAATTATCAGATAAACCCAACTCGGTTAGTTCTGTGAGCTGTGACAAGGACAAGGGCAACTCCCCACTGAGTCGGTTCCCAGCTAAGGCCAAAAAGGTGAGGTTAGTACATGAACCAAGCTCGGATGGGACGGTGGAATTTAAGCCAATGGAATGAAGATCAAATCTTTTGAGATTTCTCAATTGGCCTAAAGAAGATGGAATCTCCCCTTTAAAAATATTTTCAAACAGCTCAATGGTTTCAAGCTCAGGCAAGGTTCCTATACTCTCAGGAATCGAACCATTTAACATATTAGTAGCTAGATGAAGATGAACCAGTTTTGAAAGCTTAGAAATATTGGAAGACAATGGCCCCTCAAAGGCATTACCAGTGAGATTGAGCGACACAAGCTCGGTGAGATTGGTGAAAAGTGATTCTGGTATCGGACCAGTCAACTTATTCAATGACAAATCTAGGAAACTAAGATTATGGAAGTTAAGTATAAAGCTAGGGAATTCCAGTTCAAGTTCATTGTAAGCTAAGCTGAGGTGTGTCAACGATGGCATGGACAAGAAACCAGACCAATCCGAAGAAACAAAGTAGTTAAATCCGAGGTCGAGATGTCTTACATTTTGGAGATTGCTAACTTCAGGAGGAATTGTTCCACTGAGATTGTTGTTGAATAAACTCAGATATCGAAGCTCCGTTAACCGACCGATCTCCACCGGTATCTCGCCTTGAAAAGAATTGTTGCTCAAATCCAACACAACCAGCTTCGACAGAGTACCTATCGAAGACGGTATCGGACCATCCATGGTGTTGTTTTTGATGTCGAAACGCGTGAGATTGACGAACGGGGTGAAGTTGAACTGAGAAATGGACCCAGACACGTCTGAATTTGAGAGATCAATTTGTGAGACAGTTGAAGTTCCATCATCGCAGGTAATGGAAGTCCAGTTGCAGAGGTTGTTCAAATTGGACAACGACCATGAATCGAGCGAAGGTGGCGAAGAGGACAAAGTGTTCTTCCATCGGACAAGTGCCTCCGCTTGTGTTCTTGCAGAACATGTGGTCTCCAATGGCAGTAAAGAAAGCAAAACAACGTGAATGAAAACAAGACAGGGATTTGGAAAACCCAACATTTTTACTTTGCTAAAGAATTTACAGGTTTAAAGATGTTTTCCCCCCTTTTCAGAACATGATGAACATTAAAATTAGTTGGTGAGTGGATGCATGTGATTTAAATAGGAAGCAGTCCGAGTTTGACTTTGGAAAATGCTTGGAAGTTGCTATTTTGCCAACCAATATAAGCGTGTAGGCCGCAGCATTTCAAAGGTTGGAAAATTGGCTTGGTTGACTTTCTATCTTTGATTATGAAAGTTCGGTTCATAACATTTCTATTTTAATTAGGTATATGTCACATGGTTTTAGTGGAACGCTATAGTTTACAATGGATAATTTATTAATATAAATAGTTTAAAATAAAAAATTTATAAATGGTAAAAAAAAATATTTCCCCCCTAATGATCTTTAATACAAACATTTATGTTTTTTGGTTTGTGCGTTACCGCAAATAAAAGAATAAAACATATTATTTATTATATTATATTAAAAAAAATTAAGCTATAAACTTAAAACTCGTCAAAGCGTGGAGTTTATTTTGTTGAACATTGAACTGAAGTATCATGTTCATTCGGATTGACCAAAATGTTATTAAAATAAATTTCAATGGCACTTGATTTTGCAATCCTTCAACATTCATTTTATTATTTGGACTTTTGGAAATGATAGCCCAATATTTCCTAGCATTTACTTTTTAAATTATTAATTATTAATTCTATTTAAATTTTGGGTAACGTACACAAATAGTCTCTCGATTATTGGGTGATATTTTTTTAAGTCATTCGACTATTAAAAGTTAAAAAATTGTCATTCTATTATAGTGCTGCTTTGTTGAGTCACCTGACTATTAAAAGTTATAAAATAGTCAACCGACTATTTAGTGTGTTCCAAACGCGTCCTTTTCCGTTAAAAAATTGACAACAATCTCAGTTAGATGTTAACATGTTGATTAAGAAATGATCGTTTTTTTAGATTATGTGATCAAAATTTATCATATCTCAGTCATTTAGGTTAACATTCAGCTCAGATCGTCGTCACTTTTTTAATGGAAAATGACGAGTTTTGAATATATTAAATAGTCGGTAATTATTTTGTAACTGTTAATAGTTGGAATCTCAACAAAGCAACACCCTATAATCGAAGAATCATTTTATAACTTTTAATAGTTGAGGGACTCAACAAGGCATCACCCAGGTGACCATTTGTATATTTTACCCTTAATTTTTAATATTTACTTATTGAATCAATTTAATCAATATTTTTAAGTTCATTTTATTTTTCTAAAAAAAAGTCATATTGTTTTTTTTAACCAATATTGATTAAATGTTAAACTTTTAATAGTTTTGAAGTAACCGCACACGTAATAATTCACATTATTTTATGCTAACATAGAATTATTTATTTATATGTTACATTAACAAATAATTTAAAATTACAAAAAAAAAAAAGAAAATTATATATATGTGTGTGTGTGTGTGAATGTACATGGATTGTTTTGTGAGGATTTATGTCAATAACTTTAAAATTTTAACATTTTAATCCATAAAAAAATTAAAAGTAACGATTAATAATTGAACATCTTTAGTTTTCTCTAATTGTACGGAGAAAGACTAAAAGATTAGTTGTGATGTTAATACATAATATTTTAGAAAAATGAATATATGTGATGGGACTGCTCAACTTTTGACTTTTAGTTCAATTGATTTGATCAATAAAATTGTGATTTAATATTAAATTAATATAAAAGCAAATCTTCATTACAAGTTGGTCATTGAGCTTGTAGAACACTTGGTTGACACGTATGTCTTCTTTCTAAAGATCTCATACCAAGAAAAATGCAACTGTTCTAACGGATTGCTTCAAGACAAGTTTAGTAACACTGGATTCGTTCTTATATTATTTATTAATGAATCGGGTTAGTAACTGACATAAGATTTTATATTAGAGATAAAATTTTAAAATTTTAAAAAATAAATTTTAAAAAAATTAAAAAACAAAAACAGATTATCAATAACAAAAATTTAAAATATAGAAAATTTTGAAAATTTGTCTTTACCAACGCTTTCAACTTTGTGGACCTTATATATATGAACAAATTTTTTTATGACAAAACACAAAATCTGATGTGAATATTTTTTATAATATATTATATATTTAGAGTCTTTTTAATTTATTAATGATGTATATATATTGTAAATACAGTTATTTGAATTTAAAATCTTTAAAAACAAATTAATATTTTATTATTATTATTATTAAGATCACTTAATAAATTCAATTAATTATTATTTTTTTATAGAGAAAATAACCTCAGTGACCAAAAATCCTAGATAATATACGATTTTGACCAACTTTTTTTAGATTTGCGAAAATGACCAACAAAATCGAAATACGATATCTAATTCGCATTGCGATCTCCACTATCGCAAATTCACGTTGCATTTCGCATTGCGATAGTTGAAAATCGCGTTGCGTTTTTCCATTTCGCGTTGCGATAGTTGAAAATCGCGTTGCGATTTTCCATTTCGCGTTGCGATAGTTGAAATTCGCGTTGCGATTTTCCATTTCGCGTTGCGATAGTTGAAAATCGCGTTGCACCTTAAAACAATACAATGTGGGATTGAGCATTACCAACACTTGTTTCCAATACAATGTGATTATTCAGGGAACAATTAACAATCATGCACCTTAAAACAACTGAATCAGCAACCAATTACATTAGTATTATACGATTAAATATGTCATAATTAAAAGTCAATCTACAATCAATCGCGATTATTGCAATTTTAAGCAAAACATTCAAAAATAATATCACTATTTAAGGCTCAATCCCACATAGTATTGGGAACAAGTGTTGGTAATGCTCAAATCCCACATAGTATTGGAAACACTATTGGGAATGGTATTTAAGGCTTGGCTTTCCCACTTCCTTGTTGAGTGATAGAGAACAAGGGGGACTCTCGCGCGCCGCTGCCGCCGTCCGTCTCGTCTCGTCTCGTCTCGTGGTCGTGGTCGTGGTCGTGGTCGTGGTCATACGTGTCTTCGACACGTCCGCGCGGATACTATCTTTTTAGAGAAAATTCTTAAGAAACAAAATCTTTTTTTTAACTATCGCAACGAATTTGGAAAATCGCAACGACAATTGTAGACTATCGCAACGCGAAATGGAAAACCGCAACGCGAATTAGAGATCGCATTGCGATTTTGTTGGTCATTTTCGCAAATCCAAAAAAAGTTGGTCAAAATTATATATTATCTGGGATTTTTGGTCACTGAGGTTATTTTCTCTTTTTTATAAGAAGATGAATACTAGTTCATAACTTAATATAAATTTAGACTAACATAATATATTCTAAATTTACATAAGTGAACTGAACAAGTGTCTTGAGGTATTGGATTCAAGGAGCTTTGATTGCAAGGTATATTTATATTATCCATACTTAAAAAAATTAAACTATAGGTCTAATTAAACCTGAGATATAATTTCACTCCCATAGTTATATATAAAAAAACTAAATATATAATTTGAATATTTTCCTACAATATTAAAACTAGTCACTTTAGATTATATAATGATCATATATGGACAAGGTTAAAAATCTAACCAAAAGATTCAAATAAAAAATAGATACGAACAAATCTAATTGCACCGACAAATGAACCACAAAAGGAGATTCACTATTAAAAGACCATTGACAAATGCTAGGGTACAACATATATATATATATATATATATAGTATTAACATGAAATAAATTAATTATAAAAAGTTCTGAGCATCTGTGTTTTCATAGTACCATATTTGGACCACCTCAAATTGCATGTCCATCTGATCTCCATTTTTCAATATATAAAGGCAAATGTATTGGTTAGCATAACTCCTTAGTAAAATAATAATACTAATAATAATAATTTAGTCTAACTTTGAAAACATTCCTTAATACTTACTTTCCATATTACAACCATGAAATTAGGGTTAGCTTGTGAATGTAACTTACATTAGAATCAACAATAAGCACTTTGGCTTTTATTTAAAAAAATGATTTTTTTCTAATAATAATTTTAACTGTGTTTTTAGACACCAAAAAATACTTTTCTATAATAACAATAATAATTTTCATTACGTTTTTAAATTAATTTTTTAAAAAATAAAAGGCGAACAAACTTAAAAACTAGTCTAAATTATATAATTCAAACACAGAATTTTAAAAATTTAGATGAAATAGAGAAGGTAGGTGAAATAATTTGAGAATACGAAGATTTTTTTATAATAATAATAATAATAATAATTTAATTTAAAATATAAAAATAAAGAGCCGAGTAATTGAATAATCAAGTATCTATTAATTGAATTTCAATTCAACCCTGACCCATAAACCTATGAAAATTAGAGAGTAGGTATCAAACTTTAATATTTTTTTTAGAAAATAGATCTTATAGTTTATAATACGATCAATGAATTAATATATCAAATATCGTGATTCGAGTATTTTTTAAGTATCCTCAAATAGACATAAGAAATGTTAAAGAAAATCAAAATCAACTATTAATACAGTGGATAGGTAAGTGGAAACAAAATGAAAGTGAAAGCTGTGAATATTCAAAGAAAAAAATTGAGAGATATTGATAGAAGGGGGCCATGGCATCCCCATGAAGCATGGTTTGAATTGACTAAAGAAGCTTGAGTAATATTAAGTGAATAAAAAACATAGAAACTGGAGGCATGGTCAAAGGCTTTAAGTAAGTGGGGTATCCAAATTCAAGTGTGAATGTCAAGCACATGTTGAAGAGTTCAACGATTGCTGTTTTATAATTTGAAATATATATATATATATCCCTTGGGAAAACCCAAATTTAAGGGAATCTGATTCTTCTGTACCACAAACAATCACATCATTTACGTCCACTTGCACCAGGATATCTCTTTACACCCTCCGTATTGAAATGGCTGATCACCAGCTTTTTATCCAAAGATATCACTTTTAAAGGGTAAAATAATCCCTCAATTTTGATATAAGGCTCAGGGATTCTTCGATCAATCACATGACGTACAAATAAAAAGGAAGAATTAAGGCAACATGTGATTAGAAATAAAGGAAGCACATTTATGTATAATAAGATTACTAAATAAACAACACTCCTTGCTACAGGTGATGCCGAATACTTGTTGATCTCTTCAACTGTCAATGCACCCAAAATCAGCCTATCTTCGTCCGAATCGAACCCGGCTAGATGCTTCTCTCCGGTGTATACGCTTCGAAAGTGCTGCTCTTTTTCGCCGGTGTAGTCTCCCTCGAAGACAACCAGTTGGAAAGGCTGGCATCAACTGATACTTCTTGTTCCAAGCTGAGATTCTCCTTTTGCAGCTTCAGTGGTGTTGACCCTTTGGATTTCACAGCTTTCCATTGATCTAGATTTTCAACCGGCTTCAAAACTGGATGAACATCACCATCCCTACCCCCTTCGAATCGAATCAATGGGATTCAAATTTCCCTCGGTGACACTCCCATGGCCATGAATGCGCCTATCGTTTGAGTCTACGGCTCCATCATTGAAACCAACATAATTTTCGTTACCGTATTAATCGTCGCCTAGATCACTTTCTTCATATTCCAATTCGTCCGCGTCGTCTTCATCGTAGCTTTCTCTACAATTACGATACCGATGATTAGGATGGTAAGAAGTTGAGAGATAGACTCAAAGGAATTCTAAGACTCCCATACATATACATCTTGATTTCCTTAATTTTATGTTGAAGTCTTTTAAATCATATCATGAATTAATTAATCAGAAATCTTTTCATAATTAATAAATAGATTTCAAAGAAAAAGAAATTAGTTTATCAAACTCTGATTGTTTATAACGAGAAAAATTTAACAATTGGGGTGAGAGAGGCTCGAACTCTCGACCTCAGGATAACTCAACAAGCTATGAGACCTACGCGCTAGCCAACTGCGCCACCACCCCATTTATTCTATATATTTTATAAAAGATAATAAGTGATATCTAGCATTTTTGTATGCATCTTAGAAAGTTATATCAAGCAAATTTAAAATGAAACTTTACGATTACGACTTTTTTTATCATTTGCAGATAACATAAGTTGTAAATTTATGTTGATTATGTTATTTCGAGTTGTACCAGAAAGAAAAGAGTGCATGGAGTTTGATGACAAAATATTACCTAACAAAGGATGAATAATTAGAGAAAATATTTTTGTGGAAATCTTCTTCTGATTCTGCCTTTAGCTCGAGAAGCTCTGAACAAAGATGCGTAATTCCCTAAAATCAAATGTTCACCTAAATATTCAAAAATTAAAATTATGTTTTTACTGTAGAGATTTAAATATCGATCCGATAATAGAATAGCAGTCACCATATAGAAGTAGCACGCCGTCCTTAATTGCTATAGTGGAAAATAGTGGTATAAAGTGGAATCGCACCAATAACGATGAATCGTGGTCACAATTTAAGAGGTAGGAGTAACAACGGATCGCTATTCCGTTATTGTTCCGCTACGATAATTTTTTTGAAAAAAAATCCCTTGCTGCAATTAAAATTAGTATGTTTTATAATAAGTAGTACAAATTAAAAAAATTATGACCGCAGTAATAGCAATAACATCTGTTATATCCGAATCATGATAAACATAATCAAAAATGTGGCTACAACTGCAATTTAAATATATGGTTATTACCTTTCCGGTCATGGACTGGAGCTCGTTTTGATCGTCGAGGTCGCTGGAGAGGGAGGACATGCCAGAACTGGTTTCGGAATCAGCAGCATCCTCAATCGCCTGCTGGTTTTGATCTCGGAAGCGGGTTCTGGTGGTAGAGGTTGAAGAAGATTCCATGGAAATTGATTTACCGTCAAACGAAACGCGATTTCAATGCAAAATGGCTTGAAGAAGATAAAAGCCGTCTCAAAGAGTGTAGAAGTGAGCTGCTTGGAGTTTTGTGAGTGGTTTTGTGCCCATTGCCGCCGAGAACGCGGAAGAATCAGCTTCGGTTCCTTCACCGCTTTAAGCTTCCTATTTGAGTAATTTTTTTCTGTTCTGTTTTCTTCTTTGTTTTTGGCGCCAAGGATACAACACAAGTTAAACTATTATTTAAACGCTAAACGCAAATCTAGTCCGTCGTTTTCAACAAGACGTTATAATCAGCTTCGTTACTGCCTATATAACTTTAGTATTGTCCTCTTTAAATATCACTTTAAAATATAGAGGTGAATATTTTCGGTTTAGATCATAATTTTAATAAAATTGTATCATTCTATTTACTTAATTATTTTTTTTAACTTATTCATGCTAGTCACTAAATTTCTTTTATCGTATTGTTTTTTTAATCATTGAAAACTTTTAGTTTAACCATTGAACTATATAGATTTATTTTTATTAATTATTAAATTGTTATTTATTTAATGATGTAATGGTCAAATTAGGATCATGTCAAGAATTTAGAGGTCAAACTAAAATCTAAATACTTTTACTGATGTGTTATGTCAACAAACGGGGAGTTAACTGTGGTAAAAAAAACGAAAGTGATCAGAATGTAACTTTTTCAAAACCGATTATCAGAATAAGACAAACCGAAAACATAAAGGATCACCAGCATAGTTTACCCTATATAAAACCAAGTCATTTTTCCCAATTTCAACACATAATTCGGTTAAACTGAAATAGGTCAATTTTGATAAAGAAAAAACAGTTTGATTTGTTTTTCTAAAACTAAATGAGTTTGGTTTAAAAAATCAATCCAAAACAAACAAATGTTCATCCCTACTAAGATGCATCTGCCCATGCTCAGTTCAAACTAGGAAAACATACCTTAAGAATGCTCAAGCCATCCAGAAAATGAAAAACAATACCAGTTTGTAATACGGATATCAACGATTCACGGGTGGATCGTATACGTTTGAATAACGATGATCAACAGGTACCCGGCCGTATTCTGCCCGCGAGCCATCCGTAGTATAGCCTAGCAATTTTCGGTTTGATTGCCATTAACAAGTCGTAGCAAGAAGATGCAAGCAAGGGAAATTGAAGGGATTACTTCGACAATTTTAGTAGAATTGCTAGGGAGGCATGCCAGGCACACAAAAATCAACATAGATATAATCCAATTAAGAACTCCCACAAGCAATGTATGTAGTTCATAAAACCGAAAAACAAGCAATAGGGAGAGAACAAGAAACAAAAACTTTACAAAAAAAATCGGCTAGCTGCTCTTCTTTATCTCGAAGGTGTATTTGAGTTCCATGTGACATCTTCGGTCATCATCTTCGAACTGCATGGGAGCACATAAAATTAGGTACAATCATTATCGCAAAGCATGAATAGAAGAGAATGCAATACTAGTACTACACTTTCGGATGCTTTAATCAAATACTAACTATTTCATACTTGACTGAGAAGAAAAAGTTGCTACAAGTTTTGTATATCCCATATATTAAAACCTTCGGAATATATATATATATATGTCGATGTTGCACAAATTCAACTAACTTCGTAACTGACAATCAGTATGAAAGAAACATGATATGAAAGGAAATCTGTTGCTAAACATTGTAACATAGTCTTGCTTGATACATGCAGTTGATCATTAATTTTGGGGTGCAGGCATGCATGCATCCTTCCATTCATTCATGCATACCTTAAGATTTGCCGAGTAAATTCCCCTTGCCAGCACCCCGGACGGTGTGGTCTCTTCATCCAAAATGTGCTCATACGGTTCTCGCTGAGGAGCAAAAGTACCCAGCATTCCTTTGTTTTGGTCAACTGACAGAAAAACATAAATTAAAACAACTATGAATAGAAAAGCATGATTGATTACAGTTTTAATGCTTCGGTGGAGGGAAAACACTTGCAGACTATACGGTGCACCCACTAATGCAAAATCCTGGGTCAAATTTATGTCATGCAGACATATATATACACACACATTGTCGGCAGCGATTACCATGTTAGCAACATAATTCATGCAGCTTCAATGGAAACAGAAAAAGCGGAAGTTCTTTTACCTCTAAGTCCTGCCTTCTACACGGTGTTGGAGTAGGTTAAGCCGGAAACAATGTTGTGCAGAACACCGAATGTTAAATTGATATCGAGATCATTCCTTGAGAGTAAACAGGACAAGGCCTTCACGATTCGAACCCAACGGCAATGGATGAGAAACTTCCTCAAGGTCATTAGAAGTAATTCCTATGAAGTGGAATTTGACTTCAGGTTACATTTGGCCTAGCAAATCAGAAGAAAAAAACATTATACATAAAACTAACTCAATACTCATATGTGGCCGAGGCTGATTTTTTAAAAAAAAGTAATTTTCTATACAAATTTAATCACTCATCTATTAGTGCATTTTTCGTTTTGGTTTTTTAACTATTTTTTTCAAAATTATATTTAACATTATATTTTAGTTCCGTTTTGATTATATATCATTAAAAAATAAACAAAACTACTGATGTGATAAATTTTTAATAATGATATAATATTATCTTACAGTGACACATCAATATCACCGTTTATTTTTATAATCAAAACTTAACCTTAGATATAATTTTGAAAAGAAAATAATTACGTGACTAAAACAGAACCACGAGAATGAGTAGATGACTAAATACATAGTTTATCTTAAAAAAAGTAAAATTATAATAAGAAGTTGTATAAATTATTGCTTGATATACAATAAAAATATAACTTTATTATTAGTATTTAAATGGTGTTAAATATATTTTAAATAAATTTAAAAAAATAATGGAAACAAGATCTAACAGAAGATTTTAAAACTTTCACTAAAATAGTAGAAGATAATTTGTCCTATAATATTTTCCCCAGAATCAGGGCTACAATGGAATTATAACTCTATTAAATCAGGGAGGAAAAAACATTTTTATCATATTGCAATTTGAATTATATTTATATATGAACATAGAACACATAATTTTCAGGACAAAATGTGTAGAAACATGTAATGATTTACAGAGTATTGGCAGGAAGAGGTGATTTATGTTATCTGAATGGCTCCACAGGCGCCGAGTCTTCCAGAACAGCAGCAGCCTCGAAGCATTGAGCTGCTTCGTGTAGCGACGACCGAGTGTCTTCATCCTTGTGAATCAGAGCAAGATTATACCATGCCGACGGATTCATTCTGTCAACTCGGAGAGCATTCATCAGCAAGCTTTTCGCAGCCGCATTGGATTGGCCACCAACTTGTCTCGTCACGATGGCTGCGGATATCAAGCTCGGGGCATGATTGGGGTCCATGTCCAAAGCATTCCAGTAATCCTTCAAAGCTTCTTTCAATAAGCCTTTTCTCTCGTAAAGTAAACCTGCAAAATAAGATGTTTTATTCAACTTGGTAGCAGACCCTTAACTCTTCTAGGAAGAAGCTTTTTACCTTGATCAAAAATCGGAAGAAAAACATAAAAAAGGATTGCTTTATCAAATGAGAATATTGCCGATACATCGACAGCATCGCCCGTTG